AGCAGCGCGGTGGGCCCGAGAGTCAGGGGGCGTTACTGAGAAGTCCCCGGAGTGGGCGCAGAGAGCCCCAGACGGGGGGGCTGTATTTTAGAAGCCTGAGTTTGGGCGACACTGTATGGAAAGCCCCAGGAGGGGGCACTATTGTAAAGGCCCCCAGACGGGGTGACACTGTAGAGAAGGCCCCAGAAAAGGGTGTGTGTGTGTGTGTGTGTGTAATGAGAGAGACTTACCAGCGTCTATCCCATCAGCGAGGCTTGGGGCGTGGTATTAGGGGTTGGTAGGAGCCATGCGTAGCCCATAAGGCTAGGGTGCCTGGGGAGCACCCATCATACCGGGAGACCCCCAGGAGGTCCGGGAACACACAGGGACAGAGGTCCCAGCTAACTGTGCCCAGGGAGTCATAAGGCAGCCTCCCAACTTTATCTAACCATCAAAGACGTGGCGGGCGAGAATTTGAGGGTGCCCTTGGGCCGACTTGGCATGGTGAGGGGGCCGTAAGGAGATCACGGCCCTCCTGAAGGACCCTGCCGTGACAGTGTTTTTCAGCACTCTGACCAAAAAAATTGCCTAATCCTGCTGTATGCCACATTGAAATGACTCCACATTACTCTGGGTGTGGACAGACATAACAACTAAAATGTTTCCAAATAAAATACACTCACAAATGCTCCAGAAAGGAAATGTTTCAGCTGGTGGGCACACATACACCCTTGTGTTCTACTGTTTAGAACACTTCAAAATGCTGCAGCTTCTTCCAGCCAGTATTGGGTAGGGGATACTTGAACAGGCTGCAGCAACCAGCATCTCAGCTCCCCTCAGCAACTGGCACCTCAGCTTCATTTCCTCTCCCTTCATAGTGATAGAAGGTAAACAGAGAGGAGAGCTGAAACCAGGGCAGTGAAGTACAGGATGTGGGGGGGAAGCAAAGAAGCAGGGGCTGCCCTCAGCTTTAGCCTCAGCCCCAGCTGGGCTCCCATCAAGCAGCTCCTTATCTAGCACCTGGGACCTGAGGATATACTTTTAAGTATCTTGAAATACCTTCTCTCTTGGGGTTCTTCTTGAAACAGCAGTAGGAAGAGTAGTGCATATTACTAATATCACCAACATAAACATTAACAAATAATTTAGACTATGCAAATCATGACGCTAACTTAAAATCTTCCTGTCTCTCTCTTATTAATTGAATTTCAGTTACATAGCTAGGGTCCAGAACTGTATGACAGCTGAAATTTTCATATGATCTCTAGCAGATGGGATTCTAGGTTAAATAACATATCTCAGATATGTATGCAAAATGACTCATGAATTGGCTACATTGCATGGGAAAAGTGCCCTCTCTCCTGGTAATGCATGGAATGGCGTTATTATGCTAATATTTCTTCACCACTATTCTCTTTGTTTTGCTATTCTGTTCCATTTCACTACCTTTGAAAAACAACTAGTCATTAGCCTGTATGATGGCCAAAAATTAAATGAAAAATGTTGAGATTTAAATTTCTTGTGTTCTTTCATTTCTTGCCTAATTGTGTACCATATATTAACATAGCCAAAAGGAAACAAAGAAAGACATTTTAGTTATCCTTGCTACTCTAATTCACTGTTTTTCCTTCTCTTTAAAGAGAAGTACTGGTTTTCTCTGAAATCTGTTTTTCATTTCATGACAATACATACATTCAGAAGAAGCTGAACTTCAGTTTACTGTCACTGGTTGCATCTCCACATTCATTAATGCAATTTGCTAAAGAGCATCCATTGTGAGGTACTAGAAAAAAGTGTATTAGCCTATTTTAATGTGCAGTAGCAAATGTGCACAGGGTTTTTTTTTTTGGGATGCTTTGATGCACATTAAAATAGGCTAATGCGCATTAAAGTGCCCATGCAGATGCACCCACTGTTAGTTAAACCACCAAAATATAACATATTTTTGCAAGAGAATTTCATACATTTTATCTTTCTTTTAACTCATTACTCAAGTTTACTTCATATCTTTGTGTGTGTGTTTTGCTGCTTAGTTATTTCGGTCATTAAATAATGGTGGAATATTTCCCATGGCATTCTAGCACAGAGAAGTAAGTAGGTAATCAGCAGAAAGATATTTTAATACACGTTCACTATTTCAAACAACTCAACTTTGACTTTTTTATTGAAATTGAAGTGTGAAAATGATTTATATTGTTACAACTCCAAATTCATTGGTAGCACTTTTTCCTTGTTAACAGAAAGCCAAATAGCATGTTTTTATTTGCCCCTGAAGGAAATAATGTTTTTAAGTGTGTAATTATCCTCCTCCAACCTTTGGCAATATAAAGACCTAGGAACACAGAATGGCATTTGAAATTTAGTACATGGTGTTTATCCTGAATATCTTTGCTCAAAACTAGACTTTAAACAATCATTACAGTTTGATAAGAAGCATGAATGCCACTATTTTTACTGGATGTCTTTAATGGATGTTTCACCTAATTAAAAACAACAGCATTGGATTTTAAATGTAGTTAAGGTGAGAAGTAATTGACCTAAAACAAAGCAAAAGTTCTGTTTCACACTTGTGCAGTACGACTAAACAAATACAAAAACTGTATTCAAATCTGGTGGTCAGTCAATAGGAAATATGATTCTAACTGGCTTTATTCAATTTGTGGATTATGATTCACCTCAATGTAAAGGTGATTGTATACTGAAACATACAAGCATGCACCTATTCACAGAGGAAATGTCTTTGGCTTCTTAAAAATAACTCTCAATATTTTTCATTAATGAATTTATTCACTTCTGGAAGGTAAGTAAACAGCTGAGTGGAACTGACTCCCAACTTGCATAGACTGGTGAAGTCAATGGATGTGTGACAATTTATACCACTTTAGGATCAGTTCCAAAACGCCCAAGAACAATTTGTCTCACCGCGTATGTACAACTCCTTCAGCTGACAAAGACCACTATAAACATTCTATGGCCCAATAAAACCTTCTAGTCAGTACTATATATGATACTGGCAACACAGTGTCTGTTAACAATTTCTAAAAGGCCCTAGTAAAAACCAATCAATTTACCTTGATAGACAAAATGGAAACCTCTGGCAGATGCTCCACTCTTAGCACTGAATCGCAATAGAATCTGATTGGATGTGGCTAAAGGCAAAGTCTCTCCTATAAAAGTAAGGGTGAGGGGATAAGAGGAGGGAAGGACACAATTTCAATAATGGCAAACTCAAGCTGGAGACTCAGACAAAGAAATTACATTTGAGTAAAATGTTTGTTTAAAATTCTGACAGACAATATTATAATTTTTCCTCATTTCATTCCTTCATATTTTACAGAGTTATATTTGCCATTAGCAGTATAAAAACAGTCACAGACCAAAGAATTTTATTCTGTAAAACTATATTGTATACACACTTCCTGACATTTGCTGCAGCTGTTGGGATTAGATCTCCAGTAAGTGTCTTGTCTGGGGAATCTATTACTGTTTTGGACCATCATTATTATATGTTTGCCAGGGTTTGTTTGTGGGCTGACAGCTTTTTCTTGCATCCCATAGTGCACTAAAGAGTTGAAAGCATAGTAGAGGGGCACCAAGCTCTTTCTATATAATGTATATAGTTTAAAACATAAGTAAAGTAAAATAAAACTGTCTCTTCCTTTTCTAGTGAATCTTCTGCCTCTGAAATATACAACATACCACATTAATAATAAAATTAAATAGACTTTCCAAAAACAATTCCATTTCAAATAATGCTGGCTCATCATCTGGCATGTTTTATTCTCCTCTCCTCAAGGAACTCACTGTAAATTTGGCAAACTAATTTAAGAAGCCATAGATGCTCAAAATGTTTACACAATTTTCTTATTAGCTAAATGCATTCAGATCTTGATAGAAGTTCAGAAATGAAGAGTTTGATCTTAAATGTTTATATGTTTGCAAGGTTGGCTTTTGATTATGACAAGGGTGTAGATCTTGCTTGTAGTTATATCAGTGTATACCTAGACATGTTATTTAGATTTCTTAAATGTGTTGATTTACAACAGTTTAAATAACTTGGTGCAATAGGTCTGATGCTCTTCTCATTAATATTAGTTTTATTCTGTTGTAACTCCAGTCATTTCAATAGAGATCCTCCTGATATACACCAATGTAAATGAGGTATGAACCTGTCACATTAATTCTGCTGGAATTAATATCACTGGAAATAAAAAAAAAAAAAAAAGCAAGTTTTATTGCCCTTCAATCATTTAAAAATATCTACCAAGAAAAATGGGTATTGGTTTTGACTTTGTTGATACGGATGTGACAAAATAAAATTGGATGTTCAGATAAGATTAGTTCTATTTTATTAGCAATTAAAAACTGAACATTTTATTTCATAGCTAGACTCCTGCAAATATCATTAAAATTAATTTTGATTTTTTCCCTTGCTACCTAAGTAGATATGATTCATTCAAAAAGATTACTTTATTTTTCAACTGTGAATATGTTTCTCATTAATTTGTCAAACAGATGCATGATCAATTGTTCCAATAAAAGATATAATTGTAACGATAAAAACTGAAGCCACAAATTCTGAACCAAGAAGAATGACAAACAATATATGTTTAAATTCTTAAATATGTCAGTCATATTTCTTTATGAGGCCAGCTGTTCAAAATTATACATATGCAATTATAAACTTATTTATACATGTTTCACTTTAGGTACTTAAACCCCAGAAATATTCATGCAAAGCAGAGAGAAAATTCTACCTCCACTAAAATCCATAAGAGTTTATCATTGACTTAACAAAAGGCCCAATTTTCAAATTCTCTTCCTCACTGATCCCAAAACTATTTGTGTTTAAATTAGACTCACAGAAAAACATAGCTGTGCAGCTTTACAGCAATATGGAATCATTAGATCATCTAGTTTAATCCACTGTATAATGCAGGCCACCAAATTTTCCATCCAGTTATTCTTGCACTGAGCTCAATAATGTGAGCTAGCTTAATGAGTACCTTCCAAAAAGGCATCCAGTCTTGATTTAAGTACTTTAAATTATGGGAATAAACAATTTATCTTGGTAATATACTCCAGTAATTTACAGTTACACCTTTACAGTTACTTCTGCTTACCTTTGAAAATCAGGCCCATAATGAGCTGTACATCCATGCTTGGGTCACATGAATGATTAATACTTCTTTTTCTTTTTTTACCTGAATGAGATCCAGAGAGTGAGCTGAGAAGTCTAGCCTGGGGGGTTTCTCCATCAAATAATTCTGCCACATCATTCAATGCTGTCTGGAAATAGGCAAACTGTCCAAAAACAACTGCAAATAATAAGAAAAAGTACAGAAGTCACTCATTAAAAAAAACAAGCAAACAAAACAAACAGAACAGTTTTGCTCATCCTAGTCATTAATTGAATCCTGGATGGGCTGAATCCTTATCTTGCAGGGAGGTTCTCTCAGTTTAATTTTTACTCTGATAAGAGTTCATCAGATACCCACACCATTACTTATTACTTAATTTATTTTTTACTACTTTTTTTTCTTTCTTCCTGTCCTTTTCTTCTTTTTTTTTTACAGTGCTGTGTTTAACAAATATAGTGACACTTTTTAATGTGATTTTTTTTCACCTTTTTAATTAAATTCTGTTATACTTTCCCTAAAAGATGAGGCGTTTTTGACTTCAAAGACCATCACCAGTTTAGCAATATATCTGCCAGTTCCTGGAATTTGTGAGCCTTGCCCAAGCAGAATGATTGTTTTGTCCAGATGAGGTGCCTAGGTTCTTTAAACAAAAACCAACCAAACAAAAAAGAAATAGCTGAACACCTCCAAACAGCAATATGGAAAGCTCAGGAATACTGAATAGAAGCAGCTAGGAAGTGCTAAGCACAAGGATCTGTCTGAACTACCCTTCATATGGGTTTAAATGTCTGACTCATGTTGAATATTAAGGCTCTCTATTTGTTTGGAACCTGATTCTGTTTTTAAAAGTAGGTAAATAGCTGATGGTGGTTCTTGTGTTCATCTTTCACATAATATTCTAGTGCTTATAGCACTCACATTGGCAAGGGAAGACTAGTTTGGGGACCCTCTTCATCTCAAGTTGCTTCAAATCATTTATCTCAGTCGTCACAAAAAAGTTAAGCTGCAGCCAGATAAAAGCCTAATAAGGATTATTTAGATAAGGAAGAGGCCAAGGTGGAGGATGAGATAACAAAAGAGATGGTCAGAGAGCTTTTGATGGGTCTGAATGAATTCAGGTCAGTAGAGCTGCATAAACTTGATCCCAGAGTACTGAAGGAACTGGCAGAAGAGATGTTAGAGTCCCTGGTAATGATCTTCATGAAGCTGTGGGAGACAAGCCAGGTACCAGAGGGCTGGAAAAGAGCCAGTGTAATGCCCCTCTTTAAAAAAGACAAAAAGGAGGCCCAGAGAACTGGGAAGTTACAGGAGGAGATCTTAAGGAAGGCCCTTAGCAAGCATCTGGAGGAGGAAAGGATGATCACAAGAAACCAGCATGGATTTATGAAAAATAGATGTTGAGCCCCTAATGTCTATGAAATCTATGAAACCTTTGAAATGTCAGACAAACTTGATCTCCTTCTTTGACACGGTAACTACTTGGATGGATGAAGGGAATGCTGTGGTTATGGTGAATCTGGCCATGCAACCTTCTCATAAAAAAGCTGGAGAAATATGGACTGGACAAAACTACTGTAAGGTGGATCAAAACTGGCTCAATAGCTACAAGCAAAGACTAATTATTATCCAGTCCATATCAGAATGGCAGGAGGTTTCAAGTGGAGTCCTGAAGTGGTCTGTTGTGGGCCTAGTGCTGTTCAATATGTTTATTAATGATTTGGATGCTGACACAGAAAGTTTCTTGAGCAAATCTGCATATGACACAAAACTGAGAAGGACTATGAACATGCTGAAGATCAGAACACAATTCAGAAAGATTTTGACAGATTGGAAAGCTGGGTTAGAGCTAACAGGATGAAATTCAATGCAGACAAATATAAGGGACTACACCTTGAGAATAATAATAAAAAATACACATATAAAATGGGTGACATCTGGCTGAATAGCAGTCTGCAGTGTGATACAGCTACACAAAAGGCAAATGCTGTTTTGGGGTGCATTAATAGAGGCACTATATGAAAAATGTGGGAGGTGATAGTACTTCTCTACTTGGCACTGGTTAGGCCTCATTTAGAGTACTGTGTGCAGTTCTGGGCTCCATATTTTAAAAAGGACATGGACAAGTTAGAGGGGGTCCAGAGATGGTTCTTCTTTATGGCAACCCTTCAAGTATTTGAAGACTGCTATCATGTCCCCTCTTAAGCATCTTTTCTCTCTTGTTGCAGAGCAGAGGATGTGGACCAATGGCTTGAAGTTGCTTGACCTTTGGCAGGTTAGAGTATTATGTCTGGGTTGTGACAGTAGGGTCTAGATTATGAATTCTATATGATATTTTGGATAGATATAATTCTGCCTCATTCAGGGGCTTTGACTGGATGACCTCTGGAGGTTCCTTCCAGACCTACTTCTCTATGACTGAAACTCACATGTCCACTTCCTAGGTGATTACCTTAATTGCAAGGGTATGGGATAGCAGCTGAGTGGATTGAAATCAGAACACTGTAGCTGAGTGCTATATAGCTAGGCTCTTTCTTGCTTGTTGTTTTATAGGCAAATAAATCCTACCCATATCCCACTTAGGCAACTTCAGAACCAACCTGGACCTGGATTTAAGTTGTGTTACTGCCATTTGTTCTGTTACCTCTGAGAATAAGAGAAAAGATGAACTGGAAAGGAAAGGGACTGAATTTATTTAAGTTTTTATTTCCTAAAACTAACACTAATAAAGCATGAAGGTCTTGTCACATAGTACTTTCACAAAGTAGCACTTAATAGCACATATCCCTGGTAATGCATTCTATACTCATTTGAGGACCGAGTTAAATGTATAATCTGTGGCTTCATATTACTACTCATTTTAGCTAAAACAATACAAAAATATTCTTATATAATAAACACATAACACTATTATCAGATTTCATTTATAACCATATTTAATTTTCACTTCAGTAACAAGGAATTTGAACCACATCAATAAATACTGCAATTTATTATAATCCACTTCTGTATGCTATTAGTTAATACTTAATAGAGTTTTAAAATTTCCCCGATAATGTATTTGTAGAAATAAAACAGTAAATTAAAACAAATCCATATTTTATTCCCAAAAAAACAATGTACTAGGTTTTTTGACTCTCTGAAAACTTAGGTGGATCTCACTACATGTAGCATTACTGCATTGACTTTATAGTCTTCCTTGCAGCCATAACAACAAAACACTTTTTTACATTTGTTAGGCTCAATGAAAGCTGAGACCTGGGAGAACTACTGAGGAGATTATCTTCACACCCTGACCATGGCATACTGCAGAGGACACACATTTTGGAAAATTTTAGTGCCATGAACTAAAGTCTGTGTCCCACTCCAAATTAAACTATGTACTCAGTCACAATAAAAACACTTGTTCTGGTTCTGACTTTTTTGAAAAGTACGCCCAAGATGCCTATAGAGTTATAGCTTAACCTCCCAGCTTTGATACCATTATAGTTAACATGTTTCATGTCTCTGCCATGTCCTACTCACATTTTGATATTTTTCCCTTAGAACATTTGTACAAAATTATCTCTCTCTCGGATTGAAGGCCACTAATTATTTACCGCATATTTAGGTGGGGTAATGAACTATACCCCTGAATCAACAAAACTGGTTTATATTTACCAATAAAATTATCACCTCCTAATAGGGTGATATCTTTCAGGCAAATGCATTGTACTTGTGACTGCACTGAGACAGAGTATGTTTCCATACTATAATAGTAATTAAGTGGTGGGGCATCTAAACCCTTTGTCTATAAGCCTCTTTAACCATTTAAAGCAAAATAAGGAGATGATATTGTACTATGCCTACTTATATTTGTTATAACTGGTCCATTGCTACTTGAGATAAAAAGAAATAAGTTTATTAGTTATTTTATGAAAATACATGCATCTGTTTAGGGAAAAGGAACATGCACTTGAGGATGGAGCAAAAAGGATGGAAGTTGAAGGATAATGCAGATTGAATGCAAGTCAGCAAGCATAAATATATGATATGCATTTCTACTGATTCCAGAAAAATGTTATACTTATCTTACAATAGGATATATCTGTCTCAATTACTACTAATTGGTAGTTCTGTTGCTGCACAGTTTGAGATTCTTATATCTAGTTATATTATAAATGGCTCAGAATAGATTTTAAAAAAGAAATACCAGTTTGATAAACTAAATAGGATTTCTTTAAACTGCACTGACTTCAAACAACACTATAGACCACTGCAATGTCCCAGAATAGTCACAGCACAGTACATACTGACTAGGTTTCTCCCTAACTCCCCTTTCCCTAATGCCTATATTAGGGGCTGCGTGAAAACAAATAGTCATTTTACATCAGCTACATGCCAAGCAGGGACAGTCCAGATTATTTTTCTATAAAATAAGGATAAAATAAAATAAGGATAACTATATTTCCCTATCCTAGAGAGCTAGTGCAAGAAGCTTTTAATAATTAATATTTTTATCACATTTTGGAAAATATAACGTACTATTTAGCCATCAGGCAGCCACCGCACTGAAGCACCCTTCTGCCCCAGCCACCCCCATCAGAATCTGCACATACATTGTTGCACTGTGAAGAACTCTACTGAAGTAAACTAACAAACTCTGCTATAGGATAGTACTTGTAAGCTAAAGAATTTACAAGTAGTATGCTACATCAGAGTTTGCTAGTTTATTGCAGCCTAATAGGACGGCACATATAGTTGCAGAGACTTTACCATGGAGCTAATTAGGCAACTCGGCAGTAAACTTGTTGTGTAGGCATGCCCATTATGTGAAGCATTCATTTGTCCAATGAACATTCTAAATTATAATCTCTTATATGATGATTTCTTAGTTTCTTCTCCATTTATTTGAAAACTTAACCAACTCCAAAGAAAACAGTTTCATAGGAGTATGAGATTGGAACCAGGTAAGAATACAAGTAACCAGTTCTGAATTTATTAATTTTATTTCACTATTAAAATAGGAATACACAGGAGGCTGGGAGGTGTTGTTTTGTTTTGCTTTTTGTAAAATTTTTCCATCTATTTGTCTCTAAGACTTGTGTGTGGGAAAATGCCAGAGAAAAGGATTGCTATAAATCCTTGGCAGCAGAAAGAGATTACGCACAATTTGCAATCTGCAGTTCACCATTCTCACC